TCCAGAAAATCTTCCTTCAAAGATTGATTACATAACCAATTGTTGTGCCAAAACGAAATCCGACATCCATCGTTAATCCTGCAAAAAGTATTGTTAGAAAAACAATGGCTTCGATCATCTGTAATATTGTCCAACATAATTAAGTCCCTCCACCATATAGAATCGCCTTTGTTAATTACGTTACTATCACTAATAAACATTTTAGCTTTCGGACTCTTGTATCTATGACGCAATAAACCACTACAAATATCATTCTTCTCTTTCAAAATCCGCCATTTCCACTTAGATAACAAGGCCCTGTTGAAAACATCAATATCTTTAATATCAAAGCCCCTATTTTCTTTAGAATTGCACACAACCTTCTAACTAACCCGTTTTCTTTTGAAATGACATATTTTTCTTCGCCTATACATTTTAAGGTTGAATTTGATGATCGACAAATAAGATGTTTTTGTGAAAACTCATATTGTGACGTAGCCTAATATCTAGGTCCATTTTATTAACAACTATTTTTCATTTCTTTAAATTTTACATAAATTTTATAGAAAAAAAACCACTATTTTTTATATAAAACACTGTATAGAAGGTTTTTTACTAAGTATATAATTCACTTTCATATCATTGCCTCACTTTTCATATAAGCACCTCATTTATCAAATCATCAAACTCCAATGCAAAAATAGAAGAAGAAAAAAGTCGTATATTTAAAATCTAGAAACCAAAATTATAATTTAGCAAAATAAATATTAAAATATATTTAATTCAATGAGTTGAACATCAATATGAAGATCATTTCAACTCTTATACAAATCACTGCAAATGCTTTAAATGATCAACAAATTATTCATATAAAAGATAAGATGTAGCCTTCAATAATCTACCCCAAAACAAACAATTTTCGATATGAATATGAGACACGCAATTTAAAAAATACAACAAAATCTCAATTATGTAATAAGCTAAAAAATTCATAATGTCAAATCAATACTTTACTAGACCACTTTTCTTCACTAATACTTTACATAAATAAAGACATCTTAATTGCTATATATTAAACTTCCCTCATTCCTGTCTCCCCAGGCCCCCTAACCAAATAGAAGTACTCAGACCCTTTTGTTCTGATAATTTGTTCAAACATGTCCTTCAAATTTAGGTATACAAGATGCACAGAATTTTAAAGTGGTTGTTAAAAGCTAAACGTAGCTAGCTAGCTTTTGGATTATTGATTTGGTTAGGGCAATAATAGTAAGGATTCAAAATATGGCTATAACTTTATGTGTCTGTTGACAAAAGTGGTAAACAATAATTGTACCGTGAGGGGGGAAATATATTTAAATAATATTAGGATATCACTATCAATAGAATATAATTAAAAAAAATTTTAAAAATATGGTATAAATATGATGACAAAATATTACTGTATGTTAAAGGATAATTATTTAAGTGCGAAAAATGTTAGTGTAAGTTAAAGGATAATTATTGAAGTACAAAAAAATATTATTGTCTGTTAAAGGATAATTATTGAAGTGCGAAAACTCAATCAGATATAATTAGATATAATTTCCTGTGAATTGATATCATATTAAAAACTATTTTAAACTTTGATAATGATTGATATCGATATTTTTTAGTAGAAGTTCATGTTACATACAAACTATTATAATTGAGATTATGATCTAGTCATTGTTAAATCAATAAAAATAATAATTTATATATAAATTGTTTTGTAAATTAAAAATATTTTGTATTATTTTGTCTTAGTTGTAACCTATTAATAATACCATAAACTCTTACTTATAAAAAAAATTTATATCATTGAAGATTTTTTATCAATCCACCCTAAATCATTTAAGAAACCACCCTAAAACCACATCGTCTAAAAGTTCATAACTCTCATAATTGCTTCAAAGTTGCGTTTTAAAGATTTTCATATATTTATATTTTAAAAATATTTTAGTGGCAAACAGCATCTTGTCACAAGCAGCACCTATTGTGCACCGAGAGGAATTGAAAGAGAGAAGGAGTGCACTAATATAAATATATATAAAAGACAAAAAAAAAATGGAAAAATTCTAAAGTGCATAAACAACAATATAACCCAAAGAATATCACAGATAAAAACCAACATTGAAAAGGGGAGAAAAAAACACAAGGTAAAAAACAAACAACAAAAAGAAAATTTTAAAATCAAAACTAAGAATTAGAATTCTCCTCAATTGAGAACCAAGTAAGAGTTTAGACTCTCTTAATAAGGGTAGAGCAAGAGGGATTCACTACAAATCAAAAAACATCATTTTTTAAGATAGAGACCAACCTCTCAACCTCTATTAATGAATGTAAAGGATATGATTCTCAAGACAATCGGAGAGCAAGGTTGAGTTCATAGAAGACCTGCACAAAAATCAATTTCAGACCAAAAAATACTCTTCTTCTTCGCTTTCATCACGTATGTTTGAATACTAGAGAACAACTTATCATTATGCACCAACGAAATTATCCACGCCACAACATACCAAATAATGAAAAACAGACTCCTAACCTTAGCCTTTCCTCCTAATAATCAAAAGAACTCTAAAAAGGTGTTAAGGTCCCTAAAGATGAGATCCTGAACTCCCAATCATCTAAAATTCTTATATCAAACATTGGGGCTAATTTATAGGTAACAAATAAATGAGAAGCTGACTCAAGAAATCCCTCACACATACATCAAGAGATATCTTCTAGATCAACAATAATCTTCCACTTGAAAATATTCTCTTTAAAGAGGAATCTATCTAAAGGAGCTGTCAAAAAAACACTTTCACTTTAGATGGGGCCTAACTATCCCTAATAAGGGGAAGGATAGAGACATCCCTCACACCCTGACTAAGAGAGGGAGAAAAAAAGCTGCAACTAGAGACCATACGCGGAGGGCACTGAAAAAATGTCATATGCTATGTCTCCAAATCCATTTATCATTCTCCATACTAAGATGAACAAACTGAAGAACGGAGAATAAATCGAAGACCATGGCCTCCTTATAGTCAAAAAAGATCTTATCCATCTAAGATCCGAAGAAACCCTACCCTTAACCTATTGACCTAACTCTCTCACTTTCCTATCCCGTGCTTGGGAGGTGGTAAAAAGTCTCTGAAACCTTTGGGACAAAGGAACATCCCAATCCAAAGATCATGCTAAAGGGAGGTTTGAAGACCAGAGCTTACATTCCTAAACAAGCAATCCTTAAATCAAATAGAGGGATCCAGTCTCTTAGCTCCAAGGAGGAAAATCCATTTCCACCAAGAGGACACCGACGCCATACGACACTCCCTACCACCAGATAAAAAAAAGGAGACAATAGAGACCATAACATGAAGACAAAATCATATCATACTAGAGACCAGAAGCACCTGAAAGAAGTCACCACCTCCCTTTAGATAAAAGGGCGAGATTAATAAGTCAAAGTTCTCTAATACCCAACCCTCCATCCTTCTAAGATTTACACACATCAGACCACTTGACCCAAGAGATGTCAGAATCTACTCTCATACCTCTCTAAAGAAAATTTCTCTGAATCCTCACCAGAATCTTTCAAACTTTCACTACATCTTCAAAAAAAGACAAATAAAAAATATGGACAACATTAAAAACATAATTAAGGAGAATCATTTCCCAACAAAACTATGGCTTCAATAAGTAAGCCTCTTATGCATTAAAGAGATAAGGGGGTTTTCATCATAGAATGATCCTAACCGCAAATAAAATAATAAAACAGGAGAGACTCAATCTTACAATAGAGAAAATCATCAATTAACTCTAGAAAGAGAGATCAATATTAATCTCAATAAGACTACTCTTATAAAAATTAACTTCAAAACCAAAAGCAAGTTCAAAATCTCTAAGAATAACTTTAATATATACTCCATAAAATCTTATATATATATATATATATATATATATATATATATATATATATATATATATATATATATATATATATATATATATATATATATATATATATATATATATATATATATATATATATATATATATATATATATATATATATATATATATATATATATATATATATATATATATATATATATATATATATAAACTTAATCTATTTGCTATTTACTCTAACTCTTTATAAAAAATAAATTAAATCAATTTAATCATTGAAGTGAGAGATATTATCAAATAGGTAAAGTCTATAAATTAAAAATATATATATATTATCACATCAATTTATTTTAACATATAATAAATTATTTAACATTTATGTATATATAAACTACTAAAATATAAAACAACGAATTTTAAATTGTTTGAATTTTAATTATATGAATCACGATGATAATATTATATAACTCAATGGTAAAATTGAAATAATTTAATTTTTACATAGAATTATTGAGGATTAACTTTGCACGTTGAGATAATTATTACAATCTTTTCATGAGTTTGTCTTTTACGAAAGAGATGACTTTTTTTGGCCTTTTTATTGGTAGTCCCTCCATTTTAAATTAAATACTTTTTAATTTTACTTTTTTTTAGATAACAATTAATAATATTAGTTTTTCATAATAAATGAAATTTATGTGTTAAAATATATTTGTTAATAATAGTTAATAAAGTACTTAAAATAAATTTAAATATGATAAATAAAATTATATTAATGAAAAAACATAAATTTGAGACAAAGAAAAATAGTAAATGAAACACATAGTTTAAAATGGAGAAAATAATCATTTTCTTTATGTATTTGATATTGTATATAAAAAAAAATGTTTTGTCTTAAAAATAGAAATAAGAAAAGAAAAAGATGAAAAGAAAGCAACTAGAATGGCCCATAAATTGTCTACTCATTAGACCAATGACATGATCTCCATGTATGCCTTCACTTCACTCTTCACTCTATTCATTTCACCTTTCACCTCTCATTTTTCTTCTTGTTTGTTTATCTACAAAAAGCCAAACATCTCTCAATCTTGATCACTCACCATAAGCCAAACATGTCTTCAAGTGGTAAGGATTTTGCAGAAGGAGGAGGATCATCAACCTCTCCTCAAGGCATCACACTTAGTCGCTATGAGTCTCAAAAGAGAAGAGATTGGAACACTTTTGGACAATACTTAAACAACCTAAGACCACCAGTCCCAATTTCTCAATGTAACTCCAACCATGTTTTGGAGTTTCTTAGGTATTTAGATCAATTTGGAAAAACCAAAGTTCATCTACAAGGTTGTATGTTTTATGGACAGCCAGAACCACCAGCACCTTGTACTTGTCCTCTAAGGCAAGCTTGGGGAAGCCTTGATGCTTTAATTGGGAGGTTAAGGGCTGCTTATGAAGAAAACGGTGGAACTCCAGAGACTAATCCTTTTGCCAGCGGTGCTATTCGTGTTTTTCTTAGAGAGGTTAGGGAGTGTCAAGCTAAAGCTAGAGGTATCCCTTACAAGAAGAAAAAGAAGACCACAAGTAATCAAAGCAAGGGAAGTGATGATTCAAGCTCATCAACCATGCATTTTTCTTGAATTTCCATTCCAAATTATGGTAATTCATTCATTCATCTCTTTAATTATCACTCATTATAGTATATATGGAACAAAAACAGTATTCTATATCACTTTAATTATTAAATATTTTTTTATTTGGATTATAGCTTTCCCTTAATTTAGCCTTTTTAAGATTCTGCAGATTTTGTGTCCCATGCATGATTGTTCTTGAGATGACATATGCTCTTTCTTAAATTACACACATATCAAATAAACAAATGAAATCATCCAAAGCATTTGATTAATTAATGTTTCAAGTTTAAACTGAGATATTACGTTAACATTTTAAATAAAACATATTTCTCACCATCCTTATATATTTAATATATAGAAGATCCATGCAACGAGTGATTGGGATGTAACACTTTGTTTGCTACCATGATGACACGTACACCTTGATTGATTGATAAGATCATCACACAGTTTAACTTTTGTCAGAATGTATATACAACTTTCATTGAGATGAAACAATGTGTTGTTGTTGTTATATATAGCAAAAATTTAAGGAACATATATGCAGTTTGCATTGTTTGCACAATTATGTTCTTATTCTGTCAGTTAGTTGCTGGGTTTCATGTCATTAGGGTTTTCTTGTTTCTTTTGCAGGATAATCAAATTGGAGTTGTAATGGAGGTTTGGTCGATGTATTGATAACGTGCTGGCATGAATGCCATTTTTTAATGTTAATTTCTGTTATGTATATTTATTCATGATTATGTAAGCTCCAATAGTTGATGATCTATGTTGCATTATTAATATTTGAAACATATGTAGTTGCTTACCTTGCATGAATATTTTTGGGATTGGTACCATGTAAGTGTTTTGTTAGCCAATTTCATTTAAGTGTTATATATATGAAAACATTTATGTTTTGTGACATTCATAAACACCTTTTCCCCTAATACAGCATGCCCTGGATAATCCACTTTTTTTCAGTCCGAAAGAGCATTTAGATAACTTGGCAAATAGTTCATGGTGTTGTAACACTTGCAGTACCTGCTGTTACATCAGGAGTAGATTTCGAATAGACCCAAAGACTACTGAAAATAAAAATAACTGTTGTTAGAGAAAGAAGAAAATCTTTTATAACTTGTGTTCTGAAAATAAAATACAATCTCGGTCTCTATATAGATCCAAAGACTTCTACTGAAAATAAAAATAACTGCTATTAATAAAAACTATTATAACCTACTATCTATTGAACTTCTAAATTACATTTAATTCTTAACTTTCTCACTACCTTATTTAATAAGAAAAACCCACTACTAATGACATTAAAGTTTATTCAACAAAACTCATCTGTAAACTTAAATATTTCTTTCATCCATCATGCCTATCATTTTCTTGCCTCTGTCGAATATTTTCTTCGATAATAGTTTTGTGAAGATATCTGCTGCTTGATCCTTGCTTGCTACATGCTTCAATTCGACACTTCCTTCCTTCACATGTTCTCGAATGAAGTGGAATCGAACGTCAATGTGTTTGCTTCTTTCATGGTTTACTGAATTCTTTGCCAACTCGATTGTTAATTTGTTGTCCACTTGTATTATTGTTGCACCTTCCTGTTTTAGCTCCATCTTGCTCACCAATCTTCTAAGTCATACTGCATGACAAACGCACCAAGATGCTGCCACATATTCAGCCTCACACGTCGAAAGTGTTACTATCGGTTGCTTCTTAGAAAGCCAAGTAAATATTGTGTTTCCCATGAAGAACACATATCCAGGAGTGCTTTTTCGATCGTCTATATCTCCACACCAGTCACTGTCAGAATAACCAACTAACTTGTAGTCTTCTGTTCTTGAGTAAAACATTCCAAGTGACATTGTTCCTTGGATGTACCTTAGGATTCGTTTCAATGCCTTCCAATGTGTGTGTACTGGCTCATCCATGAATTGACTTACAATGCCAACACTTAATGAAATGTCTGGCCTTGTGCATGTGAGATAGCGAAGACTACCTACCAAGCTTCGATATTTGCTTACTTCGACATGTTCTCCTCCATCAAATTTTGAGAGTTTTGCACCTGGTTCCATTGGCGTCGAAGTTGAATTACAGTTTTTCATCTTATATTTCTCAAAGATTTCTTTTGCATATTTTTCTTGTGAGATAAAGATTCTAGTTTCTTCTTGTCGAACCTTCATACCAAGAAAGAATCTCATCAGACCTAAGTCTGTCATTTTGAATTCGTGTGTCATGGTGCTCTTGAATTCTTCTATCATTTGAACATCACTGCCTAGAGAAATAAGGTCATGAATATAGAGAGTAACAAGTAATAGATTACTTCCATTTTTCTTCAGATAGAGGGCATGTTCATAAGGACGTTGCTCGAATCCATTCTTTTTGAAATATGTGTCAATGTGTGTGTTCCATGCTCGTGGTGCTTGCTTCAGCCTATATAGCACTTTATTCAATTTCAGTACCTTCTTCTCTTCTCCAATCTTCATATACCCAAGTGTTTGTTCGACATAGATTTCTTCTTCGAGCACACTATTTAAAAATGTTATCTTGACATCCATTTGAAATATTGGCCATTTGAATTGAGCAGCTTGAGAAATGAGCAATTGAATTGTCTCCATTCTTGCAACAGGTGCAAACACTTTGTCATAGTCAATTCCTGCTTTGAATTGTTAGATTTCTCCTTGAGCATTCATCTTTTTCTTGAATACCCACTTTACACCAATGGGTTGACTACCTTTTGGCAATTCGACTAGCTCCCAAGTGTTGTTACGATCTATTGCTCTAATCTTTTCGTCCGTGACACTTTTCCACTTCTTGTCTCATAATGCTTCTTCGACACTGATGTTTTCAGCATCTTCTAGAAGGCACACGATATGTACCCCATTTGTCGAATCATATAAATATTGCAAACTTTGCATTCTGGGTTGTAGATGTTCATCTTCATCTTCAGTATCTTCATGTTCTGTTGAAATGCTTATTGGTACAACTACAAATGTTTCTTCAATTGCGTCAATAACCTCTGTCGAATTGTTCCAGTCCCACTTTCTTGTTTCGTTTGTTTGAACGTCTCTACTCACGGTCACTTTCTTGCTTATGGGGTCGAATAGCTTTTACCCTTTCGTATTCTCATCATATCCAATGAATATGTACTTTTGACTTTTGTCTTCCAGTTTTGTTCTTCGTTGATCTGGTACATGTGCATAAGCTACACTACCAAATACTTTGAGATGAGAAACTGTTGGCTTCTGTCCGCTCCATGCCTCTTGTGGTGTTTTATCTTCTAACTTTGAATATGGACATCTATTTTGAACATAAACAACATATTGTACAACTTCTGCCCAGAATTCTTTCGACATGTTCTTGCTTTTAAGCATTGATCGAATCATGTCAAGAATAGTTCGATTCTTACTCTCAGCCACACCATTTTGCTGAGGTGAATATGGTGCAGTTAGGAATATCCTTATGCCCTTCTCTTTATAATACTTCATAAAGGCCATCAAAGTGTACTCACCACCTCTGTCAGATCAAACTGCTTTGATGTGTCTGTCTGTTGCCTTCTCCACCATTACTTTGAATTTTTGAACACCTCTAATGCTTCAGACTTTTCTTTCAAGAAATAAACCCAGGTCTTTCATGAGAAGTCGTCAATAAAGGAAATGAAGTATCTTTTTCCACTGAAGGATTCTGGAGTGATTGGCCCACATATGTCAGTATGAATCAATTGGAGAATATGTTTATCTTGACATTCTGCCTTCTTTTGAAATGAGGTTCTTGTTTGTTTGTTGAGCACACATTCTTCACAAAAATTTCCTTCATAATCCATGCCTGGTAGTCCATACACCATGTTCCTTTTTGCCAACCTTCTCAAAACAACATGATGTATATGATCAGAGCGCATATGCCATAGAGACGCTTTGTCTTGCATTTCCACTTGCAGACATTTCTCTCGAACGTTCCTCAGGTTCAGTTTGTACATTCAATTTCTTTCAATTTTGACACGGGAGATCTGATGTCCTACTTTGTCCTTTAAATGCAGTATTCGACCTTTCATAAGTATCGAAAAGCCTTTTTCTTTAAGTTGTCCCAAACTCAAGATGTTGGTCTTGAGATCTGGAACATAGTAAACATCTTCGATTGATCCAATCAAGCCATCCTTCTACAAGTAACTGATTGCTCCCTTTACTTCGACCTTCACTTTCGATGCATCTCCGAAAGACACATTACCATCTTTAATTTTCTTCATTTCTTTAAACAGGTGTTTGTAACCACACCTGTGATTACTTGCTCCTGAGTCAAGATACCAAATATTGTCATTATTGGTGTTGATTTCATTTTGAGCCATCAGGAAAAAGCCTTCATTCGCTTCAGGTTCCAAGGCTAGATTGGTTTTTACTTCAATCTTCTTTTCGATTCGACAATATTTTGCAAGATGTCCCACTTTATCATAGTTGTAACATTTGTAGGAGTTGAAATCCTTTGCGTAATGACCATACTTCCCACACTTGTAGCATTCGAAGTTGGAGTGGTTCGATCGACCACCTCTTTGACCACGTCCTCTTCCACGCCAATTTTGTTGGTTCGATTGTCCTCTTTCGAAGTTGTTTCTTCGACCACTTCGACCACTGTCACGACCTCCGCGTCCATGTCCTCTTCCTTGAAAGTTTTGAGAAAAGAGTACCTTTTCGTCTTTGTTCGACTCCTTGGTTTGATTTTCTTCTTCTTCGACTGTTTCTTCCTTGTTTTTCATCTTTCATTGTTCATGTGCTTCGATAGAATCAGCGAGCTCTTCGACTGAGAGCGTCAAAAGATCCTTAGATTCTTCTATTGCACACACAATATTCTCAAATTTGTCAGTTAAAGATCTCAAGATCTTTTCAACAACTCGTGCATCAGTTATTGTTTCGCCATTTCTGGTGAGTTGGTTCACCACCTTTTGGACATGTGTGATGTAGTCAGATACAGTTTCTGTCTCCTTTATTTGTATCCTCTCCAATTTGCCACGAAGAGTTTGGAGTCGA